AGGGTGGTTTCTTTTCCCTCTATGGGGCTTCTGTCTGTTTGTTTGGATGCTAGAGGTTGAACCCAGGGCCTTGCGCATGCTAATTACTGACAAAAGGTTTTAATATAAGGTACTCTTTTTTTCTGTATGGTCCTTTTGAAATGAGACAACTTAAACACACTTTATATAGTAATTGTACTCTTTTAATTGGCCTCCTTGAGTTATTGAGCATCCTTCATTTTTATGCTATTTATTGAACCACTATTATTTTTTAGCAATGATTACCACTGTAGAGTGGGTTGGATGGCCATCACATTTGATGGAATTTGAATTCCTGCCAGAGCTATTATTATTTGTTTCAAATACGAGCAATGTGGTTCCAGTCCTTTTACCTGGACATTTTTTCTCTTTCTATTGATTTCCTGCTTCTATAAGAGCAATAAATCTTTTTTAGGGAGTAGTAAACAGGAAAAGGCAGTTCCATCTTGATAACTACTACTATGGTATAGCTATGTACACAACATCACAGGCATAACATTCAAGAAACTGTGTTAGGGCTTTGAGAATCAAAGATGACAATTTCATCTCTCATAATACAAAGAAATGTAAAGTATCTATATACCATAAAGACATTGTCAATTATAAGGACATTTATCATTTTACTAAAAAGAAATTCAGAGAAAGGCAAGTTCCAGAATTGATACATTGGCTCATGCTCCCTCTGGCCTCCCTGATAGTCGTCATCAATGGGTTGATGTTTTACACTCAGAGGTACATATGAATGTTCACAGGAACTGTATTAACTATAACTATCGATTTCTTGAACAGTCATATCCAAAGGCAGAAAAACAGCAGGTTTTCTTCAACTGCACCTTTTTATTAAGGCATAAATTTTTGTCTTAAAACCCTCTAGGTCATCTCCTTCATTTCTGATTGCTTCAGATTGTGTCATGTGCCTGTACCTTAGCTGAAGAAAAGTATGTGTGCTTTGTTTATTCTCAGGTGGGCAATTAATAGTGTCTACCATAAAGAATAATACAAGATCACTGGATGTGGAGGTACATGCCTCTAATCCTAGCACTTGGTAGACTGAGCAGGAAGATCATGAGTTCCAGGCTTGCCTGAGCTACACAGAAAGACCCTGTTTCAAAAAAAGAAATCACAGACCTCTTTCATATGACATGGCAGCACAGGCCTTAATTCCCAGCACTTGGGAGGCAGGGGTAGGTGGAGCTCTGAGTTCAAAGCCAGCCTGGACTACATAGTGAGTTCCAGGACAGCCAGAACTACATAAAGAGACCCTGTCTCAAAAACAACAACAAAAATAAAAACAAAAGAAAGAAAGAAAGAAAGAAAGATGGTGTGGAGGAAGAAAATTCCTCTCTGGGTGAAGAAAGTGAGTTACATTTTTATTACAATTGATATATAAGATTCCTGGACATACTTAAAGGTCTCAGATTACAGTTCTCCAAGAATAAATATATAAAAATAAAAGATAAAAAATACAGACCTCTAATTCCTTCTTCTCAGAAGTAATTTTCCAAGTGTTGAACCCTATAGCTCTTACTATGCACACAGGCACCTTTTAGACTGTTAAGATGTCTATAACTATCGAGATGGCTGAGGAGGTAAAAATCCTTGCCATGGGAAGTCTGGCAATTTGAGTTAAATCCCTGAAACCCACAGTGGAAGGAGAGAACTATCTCCTGAAAGTTGTGCTCCACACATGCACAATAACAAAAATAATTTTTTAAAAAAAGATCTCTGTCTGAGCATTGTGGTGCACACCTTTAATCTCAGCATCCAGGAAGCAGAAGCAGGTGGATCTCCGTAATTTTGGGGCCAGTTTGATCTACACAGTGAGTTTTAGGCCAGTTAAGGCCACCCAGTGAGGCTCTGCTTTAAAGAAACAAAAACCAGCGCTGGAGAGATGGCTCAGAGGTTAAGAGAACTGGCTGTTCTTCCAGAGGACCTGAGTTCAATTCCCAGCAATCACATGGTGGCTCACAAACATCTATAATGAGATCTGGTCCCCTCTTCTGGCCTGCAGGTATACATGCAGGCAGAACACTGTACACATTAATAAATAAATCTTAAAAAAAAAAAAAGAAAAAAGAAAGAAACAAACAAAAACTAAATTTAAAGATAGAAAGAAAGATCTCTGCAGATGGGTTAAGGATACTCTTGAGCCTAGGTTCAATTCCCCATACTCAGGAGAGGGGGATCTCTGAAGGCAAAATCTGTGACTTACATGGAATAATTGGTAAGTATGACAGAAGCTTCAGAGGAGAATGAAGCCACACATGCATCAATGTAAAACGAAAGCTTAGCTGGATGCACCTGAGTCCCATCTCCTTTAGAGTGATACATTATTGCTTGAATTTTGGTTCAGCCAGGACAACACTGTGAGATCCAGGAAGATAGAGAAAGGGGACAAAAAGAGAGGCATCAACCTTTAAGATATGTGAGGTCAGAATTCTATTGTACCAGCCCTCTCTTCCTAACAGCCCAGCTGTCCAGGTACTATAGAAACAAAGCACAGGAAGGAATTGATTCATAAAGTTCTGGAGGAAGTACAAAGCACTTAGACTCCTCAGATGTTACTCTAAAGGCTATTTCAGGAAACAAAGAAAACCTGGGACTTGTCAGAGACAAGCCACTCTCACTTTGGTTTGCAAAAGCATTTGAGAAGGAGTTTCTTGTTACTAACTGTTCTTTGTGTGCTAGGATTCGGGGTTACTGTTGGGGGTGTCCTACCTAACCTGCCAAGCTACTTGTAAAATCAAAACAACAACTTCAATTTCTCCCTCTTCCTCCTCCTCCTCCTCTTCTCCTTCCTCCTCCTCTTCCTCTTTTGAGACAGTGTCTTCTGCTGAAATTTAGGCCCACCTAATATTAATCATGTAACCCAGGCTTGACCTCCTGCTGGGACTATATCAAGCACCACCAGACTTGACTAGTTTTGTTTTTTAGACAAGGTTTTGCCAGGTAGTCCAGGCTGGTCTCAAACTCTCCATCATCCAGTACCAGTCACTAGAGTGCTAGGATTAAAGGTGTGAGCCATTCATGTGATTTAAAATATTTTTAAAACTCAAATATCTATGTTATGACTCAGTTTTTACTTTCATTTTAGATATATATTAAAAAGCCTGCCACTTGCCAGGTGGTGTGGCGCACGCTTTTAATTCCAGAACTAAGGAGGCAGAGGCAGGTGGATCTCTGTGAGTTCGAAGCCAGCCTGGTCTACAGAGTGAGTTCCAGGACAGCCAGGACTACAAAGAGAAACCCTGTCCCTAAAAAACAAAAACAAAAACAAAACAAAACAAAAAATCCTGCCTCTTGGTTGAGAGGAACTGCCCGGAAGTAATTCTTTTTATTTTTAATTCTTTATTATTGATTGCTTGATTTGGTGCTAGGGTTGAACCCAAGGCTTTAAGCATGCTAAGGAAGTGCTCTATCCTGAGCTATTCCCAGCTCCAGACAGTACATTTTGGTAGAGAAGGTTCTAAGATATAGCCCTGTCCTTGGTAGATCAGAATAGATGACACTTTCAGAACTTCTTTTCTCTCTAAATTTATTTTTGGTCAGCCAGACATCCTGCATTTGGAAAGGTTCTTGCTTGGCCTTGTCATTAACGTGTATAAGATACTATACATAGACTTTTTTTTATTAAAGCCTGAGAAGATTTTGATGTTTTTAACTTAAACACTTTTACTTAATTTTTAAATTCATAATTTACTCTATTTTGTTTCTGTCTGATACTGTTTTCAGGGATTCCATTTTGATGAAACCTTACATTTAATTACATTTGTTATGTAATTGTCCACATTACGCTTAGTTCACGTTTTCTTATGGCATTCACCATTATCTTATTGGATCGTGAATCAGGTTGACAATCTGCAGAAAAGTGAAAATGTTTCAAGTGGCTAATTTAAGGGAGGCGCACACATAGGCAGAGGTCCTGCTTTAAGGGGAAATGACCTTTTAAACATTCCTTCCCCAGATTTGAGATCTTGTTGAGGCTCCCCACTAGTATGTTGTGTGACCTTTTCCAAAGGGCCATCCCTATGTGGGCAGTCGTTTATCTGTAATATGAGGGGTTTGGTTTATATGACATCTAAACCTGTTTCTAGCATGTAGAAGATGGTCATCAAGTGACGTTACCGACCCCTAAGAACAAGGGCCACTCAACAGAGGATCAAGCCAACAGACACCAGGGAATTAATAAGGAGGTAACAGAGGTTCAAATAAGAAAACCTGGATTTCATTTCATGGCTATATGGATTTTGCAAGTCATTTCCTCCTGCTGGGCTCCAGTTTCCTCACCCACAAAATGGAGAAGACCTGCTTCTGGTAGTTATGAAACTCCACGGAGCAACGGAAGAGAATGTATATAGGAAGATGCCGAGCAAGGAATTACGTTTAGAAAGACAGAGCAAGTGGGTGAAAGGCAGAACTGAGGAAAGGCGAAGCAACGTTAACCGTTCATCACCTATGATACACCTTTGCACAACCCCACCCCACCCACGCATTGCTGCGGTCTTTTCACCTTGGTTCCGGCTCCGCCTCCGTCCCACCTTCCTTTCCCTCCTCCCTCCTCCAATCGCGCGCCACACTTCCTATGGCCGCCGGGGCCCTCTGCCTTCCCCCCCCTTCCCCTCCCTGCGCGAAGGTCGCGCGCGCTCTCGCGCCGCCACCTCACTCCGCGTCTGCCCGCTCTCCGCTTTTTCTGATTGGCTCCTCTTGTCAGTGACGTAAGCGTCCCTCCCCCCCCTCCCCACTCCCCTCGCTTACCCGGAACTCGGTCCCGCCTCCTCCCGGCTTCTCCAGATGCCAGTCGAAACCTAAGCGGCCCCTTTCTCCGCCGCACAGGAGGAGCAGGGAGAGCTGGGGAAAGCAGGAAGGCAGTGCCGGGGGCGCGCACGCACGCACGCACGCACGCCCGAGGCCGGCGGGGCGGCAGGCTCGCGCCCGGACTCGCCCCGCACCGCGCCAGAGGCTCGCGCACTCAGCGGGTTGGGCTGCGGTGGTGGTGGCGGCGGCGGCGGCGGCGGCGGCGGCGGCTGTGGGAGCCCGAGCGCTGCGCGTGCTAGGTCCCAGACGCGTCTGCGGCGCTCGCCCCGCCACCCTCCTCCTCTCTCACCTCCAGTCTCGGCGCCGCGTTCTGAGGGAAGGAACGGCGCTAGGCTAGCGAAGCCCGAGCGCACCCCTGGCTGCCTCCGACACCGCCCTGCGTCCCTTCGCGGCCGCGGGCCTCGTCGCACGGTGCTAGGCGACTCTGCGGGGAGGAAGCGGCGGCGGCGGCTGCCGGTCGGTGGAGAGTCGCGTTCCCCTTCAGCCTCGCCCCTCCGCCTGGCCCTCCTGCAGGGGCCGAGAGGACTCGGCGGCTGCCCTTCCGCTCGGCCCTCTTCGTCAGCCGGTTAGAGCTGCAGCGGTCGGGGAGAGGTCTGTCTGTGGGCTGAGGCGGCGGCGGCGGCTCCTCCGGCTCCATCATGTCCGCGGGCGGAGACTTCGGGAATCCGCTGAGGAAATTCAAGCTGGTGTTCCTGGGGGAGCAGAGCGGTGAGTGCGCGGCTCCCCCGCTCCTGGCAGCGGGCCGCGGCTTCCCCGCACCGCCCCCGGTGCGGCCCTTCTGGCCACCGAGGCTCCCCGCCGGCCTCGCTCCCCCCCTCCAGCCCGTCTCCGCGGTCCTCTGGCTGCCTGCTCGCCCCCGGCTCCTCCTCGCTAGGATCCATCGGGCTTTTAGCTTGGACCCTAACCGGTCGCCGTCCCGACACCGCCGCCCGCAGCCAGGCCCTCTCGGGCCGCTCTGCCCTCCGCAGCCCTCACCCCGCCCAGCCCCCTGTCCATCCCTTTCTTCCTCGGCTCTGCGTGGTCTCCTTCACCCCTGCCGGCTTTCTGGGGCCCCACCCTTATGCCTCGCTCTTTTTCCCGGTTCCCACTGGAGCTGCGAGCGAGGTCCCACTCCGGGAAGCCCCCCACTCTGGGGAACAGGCCCCTCTTCAGCCTTGGCTGAAGGAGGGTGGGATCTGGGCGTTGTTTTCCCCTGAGGCTTTGCTCCGAGTTGTACCGGTCTCCCGGAAGGTGGGAAGTGGTGGTCATAGAAAAAAAAAACAATTCTCGCCCAGTTTTCACCTAAATGAAGAATTAGTTAGGGTCAGAGAGTTAATGTATTCAACTCGAAGCGACTTGAAAAGAGGTGGCGTTGGCAGTGACGATTTTTGCCCCTTGGGTAGGGACTGGTTGGAAAACCCTATTTCTTTTGATTTTCATCATTGACGATTCTTTTGGCAGTGTTGATGCCTTTTCGATCTCTGCCAGATGCTATGTCATGATCAGTTTACTTCGAATTTTTCTCACCTGACTTCCATTTTTTCTCGTTTCAACATGAAACATCATTTGAGTATCTTCATGATGATACAAGCAGGGATTAACGGGTGAAATGTTAATTTTTTTTTCTTGAGTGTTTTCCAATTACATATTTATGATGCATGTGAGAAAGGCTTCAAATAATAAACATCTTTGTTTTGTAGGCTTGCCTTTGGGTAATAGGGTAGTAATAGATCCGTCATCTAGCTCTCTAAATTAGATTTGAATACCATTTGAGCTAACTGATTATTTTATACTTAATATTTTGTAGGGTCTTGTGAGTGAAATTGTAGTGTCATTTACCTGGTCAAGGTTCTGCAGTCACTGTACTTCCTATTAGCTACAGGGTCCTAATTTTGTGATGGTTGTCATTAAGATTATATGTGCCAACAGCTTTATTCTGTGTTATACAAACGACGATTCAGATATTATAATCTTTCTTTTTCCCTCCATATTTTTTCATGACAACCATTAAAATTCAGACACTGGGGGATTAGTTCCAAGTAATCAAACATGGAATGCCTACTGGCATTTTAGATGAAATTATGGAAAACATTATTTCGAGTGGAAACTGAAAATATTCTTAGGTTTCATTATTAGCTTGAACTATTTATACCAATTTGGAGCTTTATAGCAAGTTAACACTGGTTGTAACTTTGCCTTCAGCTGGACCTGGGAAGTAATTTTTCTTGTGTGTTTAGTTTTGACTTCTTACAGCCTTGTAGGATGGAAAGATCATGTCTCCCTCCTGTTTACTTATGGATATTTAAGTATAGATGTTTCCAGGCCAGCAAGATGGCTCAGTGAGTAAAACAGGTTCTCACCACCACGCTTGACAACCTAAATTCAAAGAAGGGGAGAACCAGCTCCCAAAAGTTGTCCTCTGATCTCCATGAACACCCACCTACATTTTAAAAAAAAAAAAAATAAAATTACAATTTTTAAAATAAAATACACATTTCCTTAGATGAGTAACTTGATGAAACCCATGAAGCTGATCCTGATTCAGTTAGTGTTACATGGCAGTTTCAGGACAGTCCCATACAGAAAATGAAGTTCATTGGTCATTATTAATAAATAGGTTTGAGTGTACGTATTGTGCGGTCTAGGGAGCTTGTTGACCGCCTCATATTGTGTACTGGACTACTTAGTTTGCATAAAATCCGTTAATCTTTCTATTGAAGTTTTTAGCATGAGGAGAGATCTTAACTTGTACTGTGTCCAGGTATCCTTTGAATCTCTTGAGTGTTTATGTTGTAAATATTAGAGTTTTATGACTTCTAATTTCTTTTTCATTACTTTTTTTTTTTCAAGGTAGACTTACATTCTGGTAGCTTAGGCTGGCCTCAAATTTGGAATCCTCCTGCCTCAGCTTCTGAGTACTGGGATTTCAGGGGTGAGCTACGAAATCCATTTTATTTTCATTTCTTTTTCCTATTTTGAAATTAATTTCTTTTTTAGGCAGTCTCATGTAATGAGGCTAGCCAATGAACTATATAGACAAGGCTTGCCTTGAATATCTGATGCTCCTGCCTCCACCCAAGTGCTGGGATTACAGATGTTTGCCACTATGTTTGGTTTTATGTGGTAGTAGATGAGCACTGTACATACTGAGCTATATCCTCAGCCACTAGGACATTTTTTTAAGTTGGCAAACAAAGTAATGTGTTTCGATACAGTTTTTTCATATTTGTGTATGTGTGTGTGGACAGAGAGAGACAGTCTTGCTGTATAGCCCAGCCTGGCCTTGACGGTATGAGATCTTGCATCATCCTCTCAGGTTCTGTCATTTCTTTCTTTAGATAACTTATCAGCTATTCTCTTCCATGCATTTCCTGCCTTCCCAAGTGGCTACTAAATAAATGTCTTGTTAGATTTAGCTATGTGTGTATGTGTGTGTTTCTATATGTTAGCACAGTTTTAGATTTACAGAAAATAAGATAGTACAGAGGATACCTATGCATCCTGCACCCTGTTTCCAGCTAATGCCTTACATTAGTAAGGTACATTTGTAAAATTGTTGGCTCAATATTGATTTCTTATTATTAACTAAAATTCATTGTTTATTTGGATTTCCTTAGTTTTAAAAACTCGATCTTTTTCTGCTTCAGCTTTCCTTCCAAGATACCACATTAAATTAAGTTGTTATATCTCCTTAGATTTCACTTGCTTACTTTAGAATTATGTTTGCATGCTTTTTGCTGTTTAGAACTGTGAGGTTAATTATCTTTTGAGGTCATCATATTGCTAAGTAATGCCATCCAATAGTTTTGACACTGAAAGATTGATTTCTGTCTTCACGGTCAGTGTCTGTAGTTTTCTTATGCATTAGCAAAGATCTGTAGAGTCTATGTTACATTGATGTAACTTGCTATGAATTATTTATTTTTAGGTCTGTTAGAATTCACAATTCAGCTTCTAAAGACTGTACTCTTTGGCATAGCCTTCTTTGTTTCCTTAATAGCATTTACCACGTTTATAATATTTTGTGTGTTTGTTTTGTCTGTTTTCCAAGGCAGAACAGAATGCAAGTTCCATAAATAAAAATTATCATCTTTGTTTGTTCATTGAACCCCTGTTGCCTAGCATATAACCAGTCTCATGGTAGCTGCTCAGAAATATTAGATGACAGGACAATAGTTAAATGTAATAGCAGCCAAAGCTAATTGCCTATATTTTTTGTTATGGTAAAATCTGTGTTTTCCCCTCGTGCAGTTAATAGTTTAGTAATAACATTGTATACTCACATTATTTGATTATATATACAAGGATACTCCAAATGCTGGAGTTTGGATAGGGGAACTAGTAATTTAGAGAATTAACCATTTCACTAAAAAAAACATTTATCTGCATATTACACTTTTTTTTCTTTTTGGGTTAAAGTTTTTTGTTAAAGCTATTAATTTATTTGCTGTTAGTATAATTTGTAGAAGTATGTCACATAATGCAGATGATATAGTCATATGATTTTTATTTAGCTTTTCAAATGAAAGATATTCTGCTCTATAATGAAGATGAATTGCTTCAATACTTGACAGATCTAGTTAATGGCTTGAATCTTGACAATTTTCTCTTTATTTTAGTAGTATGTGATAAAGGAATGTTAAACTACATAAGTCCTAAAATCTCCTTCAGGAGAATCTTTTGTTATTATCAGGCTATTGTCTGGAAGGCCAGAGGGACTTTTAGGAATGTCATTAAGTGGTTTACAATGATTTTTACTGCAAATGTAATTGTTATTGATTATTAGGAAATATGATGGCAAGGAGACATGCATACCTAATACTGCTTTTTTCACTTCATAATACCTTTTTTCTGTCAACATTTTTAACCTCAATGTATTAGAGAGGGAAAAAGAGTCAAGAGGCTAGTGATATTGAACACTGTAATAGTATAGTATAGGTCACCCTCTTGCATTGGGTATTGAGTATTCTCTGAAAATTCCTTATGGATAGGGTCTATTAAACCACTTAGAGTTTTTCAGTAAAGTACTTAAGTGTTTATTAAGCACTCTATTTTCCAGACCTCTTAGAAAAATATTTACATTTAATTTTCATAGTAGCACTATATACAATAAGTCCTGTTTATTGTTTTTATTTTATAGATAAGGAAGCTGAAACATAAAAAGTTGTTGAGTAATTTGCCAAAGGTCAGTGGCCAGTACTAACATAGGAAACTTGTACCTTGTGCTCTTAATCACTATCAAGTTTTAAGGTTTAAAAATAAGATACAGAAAATATTTCCATTGGGACTCTTTAATTTGCAAAATGAAGCTACAAGAAGGACAAAATGGCCTGATAACTATCTAATCTAGTAGCTCTCAAACTGATCTACTGACCCCCAGAGATCTCACAAGAACCTGTGGGGCGGAGGGGGGGGACCCATAAACCCCATAGGGGTCCAGAATATTAAGATATTATATGCTTTTCCACTCTTATTACCGTATAAGTAAATAGTGTAGTTTCTAAGAGCCTACCTGGTATGTGACACATGTCAGAAGCAGCTGTAAGAATATAACCGTCTTCTGTTGAGTTAAACATTAAGGAATTTTGCAAATAATTTAAAATATGCCACTCTCATTAAGTTTTTGTTTGTAAAACAGTTCTTTTCATAAAAATTATGTTGACATGCAATGAGATTTATTACTATTTTAGATCTATTAAGTACTTTTAATTTTTCATAGTTAGATTTCA